TTTTTAAAAAAAAAATATTGAGAGAAGTTGGTGGAATAATATAAAATAGTAACTATGACTTTGTAATTAAATGATTTAACTTACTATTAATGAAATATAGTAAAAAGTACTTTATTATGAATAAATACAAAAATAAAAATCAAATTATTTCTACCTGTAGTAAATCGTGCATTTCGGTTAATAGAGCGACTTTATATATAAATAAAGTGGTATCAATTTAATAATTATTTTTTGTGATTATTATCACAATAAAAGTTCCGTTCTTCGAGTAATTACGAATCACTAGAATTTTATTTTATTTTTTGGTTACCAACGATACAACACCGTCTTCAAAAAAACATCTATTAAATAGGCTTTATTTTTAGAAAATATTATTTGAATATGTACGATAAAAGTGCAAATATAATTATTAAAGAAAAATTAAAAATCGTTTATAAAAAAATATTATGATGGTTATCACAATGTTACAATAGAATCTTATTTATTAATTAACATTAATAATAAATCACAATGATTTCTTTTTTATTTAGTAACCAAGCATATACCAAATACCTTTTGTTAACGTATCTTCAAAAATTATTTAATCAAATGTTTTATTTAGAATCATGTGATTTACCAATAACTTGACCTTTTCAGCCTTCTAAAATTATAAACACAATTTTCACAATCAAACGGAATTCAACTATTCATTTTTAATATTTAACCATCTTTATCCTTAATAATAAATTATGTGTTCTCTTGCTTTGTTGGGAATCCAGCCATATATATGTAGACCGAAATATGCATGAGAACATTGCAAAATATAAGTACAAAATAAGTTTTGTAATCATCTCTAACTCGAACGTTAGAGCTAATAACGTAATGGCTCTTTGATATTTCAACATCTATAACAAATCCATCCAGACTATTTAGTAACGATCCATATACCAAATATTATTAATTCAAAGATTTCAAAAATATCATTTGATTTTATTAGTAAGTGCACCGAACAATGTTTTTTACAAATTCAAACTGTGATTCGTAATATCATAACTTATTTCATATAAACAATTAAATTAGACAAAAATTAAATATTTATAATATCATTGTTATAAGTTATAAGAAAAAATAAAATAATATTGATGTAATTAAAAATTAATAATTTTTTAACTTCGAAATAATATATATTACCTTTTTTTTAATTAAGTGTTGATTATAATATTTGACACAATTTTTTTTAACTTTAGCATAACAAATTTAGAAATCCACATAATATATTGTAATAAGGTATGAGTAAGGAGAGAGAGAGAGAGA